AATATGTTGATGACACACCCGTGACTTGGAGTTTGTATTGACATATACATATTTGGCGCTGTCCTCCGACCAAATACGTCGGAACGGCCGATGTACTCTACTTCCCAACCCCTACAGTTTTAATTGGCTTAAAACATGTAAATGTACCCTGTAATTGGATGAAAGTACGTTGATATAATTCTGTTCGCTCTTCCGTCGTTTACAAAAACTAAGTCAGGTCGGAGAAGCGACGATATTCATTATATTCCTTTTCAATTCGTTAAATGGGAACTTCTTGCGTGGTCGCAGGCCCCGTCACACAATCCATCGATCGATGGACACTGCAGCATGGGCGATGATGGCGTACAGTCCCGCTATTGCAGGTATGTAAGCGGCCCGAGGAGACCATCTAGCTGAATTACCGCTAAAACCTCGATGGAAGCTGCATACATCCGGCTTGAATCGGAATGCACGGTTGACAGCGCATATGCGCAAACTCACCTGGCTGGTCTGACGCGCGCTCCTTCTTTTACACATAAGTAGGAAGGCGGGCTATGGGCTATCCTCCCGGACGGCGAAGCGCCAATCCTACTCGAGAGTAGGATTCGGCACTTCGCCGTTGGTTCCCTTGCATAAAGACGGCGTAGCGGTCACGGCCTTGGGAGCAAGGTGCCGGTACCCTCCGACGCGAGAGCCCTAGTGTGGGGATGGCGGCTTCCATCCCTCACCCCTCGATCTGGCGGTCTACTGCTCAGCACCAGCGGTTCAACCGACCTGGTCGTAGTCTGGCAGCGCATGGTGCAGGCAGGTGAGTGCAGATCTTTCTAGCTTAGTCGTCTTTGCCCGTCGTTTTGCGTCTTACAAGACCTCGAAGCCTCGTCCCGTAAGACGTAAAAGGGTATGTAAGGGTATAGTTATCAATCCTGTAGATGGTAAGAAGCTGACCGAGCGGAGCTAAGGCGCCACAGATGAAGAGTTACAGCCAGAAGCGCGATCGACACCACAGGTTGTATCTTACATGTCGTTTCGACAACCTCACGAAAAAAAGGCATTCATAAACCACCGTGCAATCAATCGTATTGACACGAGCAGTACCTTGGCTGCCGCGCACTGCAGTCAATGATAGTTGAGCATCTTACCCGTACGCATGGCATCGCATATGCCGTTAAAAGAGTCATAAACTCGCTACGTCGAAAGGCAGACGAGTATTGTACACGAGTCGCAGCTTATCGATCCAGCTGCTTTGTACGACATACAGCTTTGCCTTGTCCGCTGCTGTTTACTTCCGTGTATCCCCCAGGCTTACGTACGATGCGCTTTCTTCATTCGACGTTACCTCGTCGGACTTGGATAGCACAACTGTATCGTCTCGACGGCAGCAGATCGTTCGTCCGCCTCGGGAAGCGGCTTTATTCTTCTTGGTTCACTCGCTACCCGAGCTCTGTTTCATTCGCAAACCAGCACCGAACCTCTCGAAGCTTTTCTGACGTCTTTCTATCCAAACTACATTCCAATGCGTGTTGCCTCCTACTGCGCGTTGATCTGTCTCGCTGCGGCCGCGGCGACAGCTGACAACTTGGTTATCAACGACTTTGTCAATGGCGTCACGACATCAGCTTCGAACGCCGCGACCAACGTGGTGAACGGCGCCGTGTATGGCGCGACCGATGCGGCTACACGAGCTGCTATGGACGCTACCAACAGTATGGTCAACTCGGCCGCGAGAGCTGCCGGCGGGGCTGTTAATGGCGCCATTGGCAGCGTGCCCAATTCCACTAAATCGGCTGCTGAACATGGGTACAACGATGCGGGAAGTGCGCCAACAAAACCGGACGGTACCCCGGGCGTCAACGACGGACCAGCTTTGCGCTCCGGTGCTTCCACGGCTTCAACGTCTTTTGTTACGGTGGTGCTTGCAGTCTCTGGACTTGTGCTGACTTTTGCCTAAGCTGGCTCGGGCGTTGAAGGTACGTGTGTAGACGGACTGATGGATCACCCATCAGATTGACAGGCAGACAGAGTAAACACCCTTAGCGAGGTATCCAATAAACGTTAACGAATTGTCCGTTTGGTCTTGACCACGACTGTTTGTCGAGTGCGAGTCTGACACTCACGAAAATGCTGCAAGAACAGACTTTGCATGTTGCTGTGCGACTCTCTTTGCGTGATGTACACTCGCTTTCTTTGCATCACATCACGAAGAAGGCGACGGCAGAACCGCTCTTCATGTCGATCGTTCTTTTTGTACCGTGTCAACGCTCTTAAAAGTGTGGCAAAGGACATGAGTTGTAGTCTACTGCTGCTCTTGTCGTCTAGTGTTAGTCGTAGCAATGCTGCGGTCTAACTGTAGCTACTCACAGTAGCAAGATGTGCTGTACAAACGTGTCTGTTCATCGCAACATCTTGTCGACAAACCAGTGAGTTATCGGATACAAAGACGTTGCGTAAGCGAGTAAAGCAATCAATCGTCAAGATTGATGAAAGGTGCACGCCTAGCAACGTCATTTGCTATTGAAGATGCACTTGCTTGTGCTGTTGGCTCAAACAAGTGTAGGATATCTCTTTGCTGACCTACTTGCTACGACAGCGTCTCACGGCTTGTCGAGTAGCAACCAACAGCACGCGTTCGCAATCGACTTGTTCCTCATGCAACTCGCGTGTCAAGCGCAAGCTTGTCAAGAGACCGGGTGCTTAACGTGGTCTCGCGCATGTCACCGACAGAGTAAGGATATCGAGTGATCGAGCTTGTGTTCTTCGAAGCGCGTACTTGCAACTAGACACACTGCTATCAAGGAGAAAAGAACAGTGAGATCGGAAAAAAAGAGATAGAGAAAGGTATGGGGATGAAAACAGGAAGCCACATACACGTCGATTAGCAGATACAGGTCAACCGTCTTCGAAAGAAACGGACTCAAGTTAGACGTACTATATATCCGGTAAACGCCTGCACGGCCTCCGACAACACTCAAAAGTTGCACAAACGCCTCTCTTTCTGTCGTCCAGCAACAGCTGCCCTTGATCAACCAGCGAGTAGCTCAGATAAAGAATCCAGTGATCGCGACGGACGCCACGACCACTAGAGCAGTCGCACGCGGAACAGCCCCCGAAGCAGAAGACTCGGGCACTGGCGCAGGTGTCGGGCCCTCGTCCGGGCTCGGGGTTGGCTCGTCGACTGGAGTCGGTGCTGCCGGTGCGCCATTTTGGCCGACCGGGCGCCACCCAGCTTCAATCTCGGGCGTCTCTGGTTCCACGTCCGGAGCGTCCACTTTCGTCTCGGTCACCACGTTGCTCACGCTGTCCGAGACGACTGCGTTCATGCCCTCATCGGCTTCGGAGGGTGGCGCTTGGTCAGGAGTGCTCTCCACGGGGTCGTGTTCAGGGGTCGACGGGGCTGCTGCATTGGCGGCAAAGGCCACGGACGCAGGGTCCAATTGGGCCAAAGCGGGCGTCGACACTGACGCAACCGCTAGCGCGAGAAGCGCGAGGGACTTGAAAGAGCAAACCATTCGAGAGGTATAGCCGACGCTTTTTATGCGGTTCGTTCGTGAGCTCCTCGGTTCGTTCGTGAGCTCTTGGGTTCGTTCAATTTGTTGGTTGCTCGGAAAGTAGGTCGGCAAAGTACAGGAAGAGCGTCAGGAGCGGAGCTTTGGCTGCCAGGCGGTCGTTTGCCGAGTGAACAACCGGCCACGACCAGCTCTGAATGTTCTCCCCCTCCCCTCTTGTCGTTTCCACACGCACACACGACGAGACCAGTTGGTCGTCACGATCGAGCGACGAAGCGACCATCCCAAAGATCGTGAAAAGAGCGATACTAACGCTGCGTGCGTATGTTTGTGTGGACTTGACGGACATTGCTGTGGAGATTAGCAGGCTGGTCTTCGTTGGACGCGACAGGTCGCTTTGGTTGTTTGCATGGTGCAGGAGCATTAGATAGGAGAGAGACAGAGACAGAGAGAGAGAGAGAAGAGAGAGGAGAGAGGAGAGAGTCAACGCGTGGCATAAGAGACTGATGCGCTCTTCCACTTGGTTGAAACACCTCTCCCTCTGGCGTGAGCAAAGCACGACGAAAGGATCAGGAACGTTTCTCTCGCCAACATCTGCTGGCTCAACGGCGGCGCATTGCATGCCACGCGTGTCGTTCATCAGTCTTTTCGACAGCGCGTTGTCGCAATACGACAAGGACAGTCGATGTCGTCGGCCCGTCGTGTGATACGGAGGCGAAGGTAACGGCGTGTAGAAACGTAGAGAGGTCAGGCCGTTTTTGCTTGGTACAGAGCGGGAGCAGAGCACCCCATGGACTAATGCACCGAACTTGATGCTGCGAGCGTCCCATCTACGTGTACACACACTTTGCATCGGACGACGTTGCGAAGATGTCTGTTGCGACGACGGCAGTGGCTCCCGAGTTGTAGCAGCTTTCGGTATAAAAGGAGAACGACACTGTGGTCACCTGTGTATTCGCATGTGTTTACGGCTGGCAGTTGCAAGGGAACCATCGACGTGAGTCCGATCAACGGCCATGCTATGGTGCCCAGACAGGTGGTCAATTGTCTCAAGCCGCGGTCTGATGCCGCAAGTTGTACACGCTCAGCCATGTGGCAACTCTCTCTCTCTCGGATCTCTGCGAATTCTCTGGTGCTGGGATTCCATGTGCTGCAACGGAATTCGAGGAAGAGCGTGTGTACGCGCTCCACGCCGTGCAGCTTCGTTCGAATCCACGTAGTTCCGTCGTGTGTGGCCATATGCGATTAGAAACAGTTGATACACGCACGCCGTCATGACCGAAGAGACCGCGGATATGGCAGCTGGAACGCGTCTGCTTTCGCTGCTGTTGCTGCAAGACGTGGCTCCTTGATGATGCAAGCGATCGTCTTGACAGGCACTGGTCTTGCACTTGCATCTTTACGACCAGCTTGTACGAGAATGATACGCTTTGAGCAAGTTGAGGAGGGTGTCCGTCGATTGCATGGCATGTGCCAACTCGTAGGGATGAACGTCGCCGGGTGCGTTATGTATCAAGTATGATAGTCGTCGGCCCGGCAAGTGTGTTGTCACGTACGGCGGTCGTCCATCCATGGGCGGTGGCGGTCTCTTCATTTTGCTGGGGCATCAAATATTAGTTTGCACAAGTCGGACTGCCTGTCCGTGTACACAAATATGTTCCTGCCGCAACCCCGTGTCATGGCTACATATTATCCATCGCAGGTCCAACCAGCACTTGATTCACAAAAGCTACGTTTCCAGAGCACGCGTTTAGTTGATTTCTCCAACCGAACGCGACTGCTTGCTTCCTCTTCAAAACGTCGACGAGCAACCTTCTTGCACCGTCATACCAGCTTGCACTCATGAGGGAAGCTCCGCATGATTCGGCACATTGCTCTTTTCGCAGCCTCCATCTCATTCCTTCCCCCGGATTATGGGGACAGTGAGCGTTGGCTCTTGGACGATTCACATGGACAACAAACCGCTCTCCTCTGCACGATTTCCGAAAAGAAAGCCAACATCCGAGCACCGTCATATCGGCACCGAGCAGCTCTCTGAGGTATCGTCGTCAAACGAACGCCCTAAAAAGCGTACGCGCCCCATTGTGGATGCAAGCACCACGTGCGCCCCAGAGCAGCTTCACTGCCGCTATGCCAACAAAAAGTGCCTAAATCCACGTGCTGTCAAGCGCTCCGGTGGTCTACATACCTTTTGTTCTTTGCATCGCGCCAACGCCAATCGCAACCAGCGACGGTTGGACATGCGGAAGCGAATGGCTCGACAAGCCATGCAAACGCAAAAGAAGAAGGAGTTCATAGCTCCGATTCGCAAGGCGCCTGCTATGCTACAACCAGCAGACCCAACGACAAGTGTCATCTTGTCTAGCGTGTCTCCGTCAGGTGAACATGTCGACCATCATCTTGAGCCGCTGCAGTCGCCTACGCCGCTACAGGAAGAAGACATTTCGACGTTGGTCTCGCTCTTCCTCCCTCCGTGATTCTCGGATACCGTGCCGTGATGTAGTTTGTAGAAAATGGCGCCTCGAGACCTGTTTCAAGGTAGTGCTATTAGAGGTTGTAGCAATCGCTTGCGTGATGGTGAAGCAAGTGATCTCGATCTAGTATTTAAGCTTCTATTAGTATACACAAAGAGGTGTTCTCATGGCTTACACGATGATGCGAAGATTGTTCAGCAGGCCATGTTTTGGCAAGAACTACGGCGTTCCGATCGAGATAGAGCCATGTTGTTGAGGTCTGGGCCGTGGTGTTTCGTTTGCTCGATCATGTTGAGGGCGATAAATGCCGAATCGTGAGCACTTCTGCGTACTTCTTCTCGCCAGAAGCTAGCAGCAGCACCTTGATCGCTTCGTAATAGTTGCACCCTCGCGAATTCTTTCGAAACGGCTGCGCGCAGTCGCTCACGCCATTTTCTACAGGCCATGCGCCATTTCTGTTAGCTTGCATGTCTTGCCTGCTGAAGTGTGTTGCATACATGCTGCCTCGTCGAACGTTACTTGACTGTAGATGCAATCTTGCAAGATGCTACCAAAATGACGAGACGACATCTCTTCGCATGACGTGTACCTTGACCAAGATCTGTATTAGTACATTGTTGTATGATAGACTCATCAGCGAATCAAACCACCAGTACGATCCATTCGGCTGACAATTGATCTTGACGAGGTTGTCGACCATCCGTACATGATATTTTCAAATACACAAGTAGATGTGATGTGTAGAATGGAGAACAGAACGAAGTCAAGCTAGTTTGCAGCCACAGGTGCTCTTCTGAAGAATAAGCCACTAGAACCACTCATTCATTGCACTGTGTAGCACCATGCTAAGAAAGTGTGGGCTCCTGATCCAGTTCGTATGCTACAAATCGATGACGCTGCAGGGTGTCAGCCATGACACATTGCGATGCCTTTGTATGCTCTAATTTACCATCGACTACTTGAATATGATCACACATTTCTGAAAAAGGCGGACACCCAGTCCGCGGCGGAGATGTCTGCGCATAAGCGAATTCCAAGTAAACGTAGGTACGAGGATCATCCCTTTGCAACGAGTCGCTGCTTACGATGACGCTTGTCGTGTCAGAGCTCGCTTTTTCGTCTCAGTATGCAAATGCAGCTAACCCCACATTCTTTGCTACGAGCTTGCCCTGAGCGATGCAATTGCAGGCTGGAGACGATTACACTGGCAAATTTGGTGCCACTCACCAATAATTTAGTGCACAACGTCACATCAAAAGATAGGTGATTGTAGAATTGGCGGGAGCAAAAGACAAGCCACCGAGCTTCGTCGAAGGGCCTCTATCGTGACTCGTGGAAGTGCGTATCCGACATCACGACGACGTGTGGGTAGTTGTTGGCCGAGAGTACGAGCTAGATAACCAAAAGAAAGCAACACTGTTGTCGCACGGCTTTTTTGCAAGAATGACGATGGTTTCTCTTACAAGGTTAGCACATGCGGATCAACAACAAAACCGTACGATATCTACTGAAAGGCATTATTAGGCAAACATGAATCACCATAACCGTTTGTAGCGTAAGTTCGGACGGTCGCATGCCGAGCACCAATTATTTTCTGGACATCAGGTGGTGATGACCACGAAGACATATGGCGGTATGTAAAAGCACGTTTGCGAATGTAGAAATCGTCATCTTAACCGGCATATAGAAATGGAAGCTTTTTGTCCCAAATCGTTTCGATAAACCATGATTAGCGGTGTAATATTCTATCTCTCGTAAGCTCACCATCCCGAATTTTATGATCAGTTTTTGTTTTTGTGCGTTAAAACACACTTGTCTCAAGCTCGAGGCTCGATAGAACTAGGCTCAAATTTCTATGCTATCTTATCCTGATCTCGTTCATCGCTTCCGCGCACCACCGTGAGGGTGAGCGACCGCCGTATCTCACGAACGGATTTCGATCGCGTCGTGCGAGCCAGCGGCAGCAACTCGATGAGCGCGTAATTCAGATGCCATCACGTTCGTGTAAACAGATGTACCCTGTTCGGGTCGGTTGTATCCTGGACGTGTCCTCGTCCACGCGTATCATTTCGGTGGCGAAAAAAGTGGACTCTTGTCGCGCATTGTTGTATTGAACAACGGGTCACTGCCAACGATAGACGGGCAGTATGAACCACACGTACTTACATTGTATCGCTTTGCTCTCGAGACATGTGTGGCCGATCAGAGGCCATTGATAGTACGCACGCGAAGCCGCTCGACCAGCAGCAACGAAGATTGTCAGCTCGGCCTGTTTATCGATCGATCAGATTGCAAAGTGCACGTAGGCCGGACGCCGCCGCAACTATTTGAGCTGCGACACCGCGACGAGGGGTCAAAGCCTTTCCTGTTGCCTCGACTACGTGCTCATCAGGGTCAGTCAGTCCTCTACGGCGCCCCGTACTGTACCCTGCAGTGCCTGTCGCAACTTGATTTTTGCGCCAGAGCTGATTCTACCCAAACGCCTTCTTCAAGCCCACGCTCGAGTCAGTAGCACAATGATCACGACGAGACGAAGAAATCAGATGTGCCTTTCGATCCCGACCTGAGCGAGCCAGTGAGCCGCCCGCCGAGGCCTGTGAGGGCATCGCACACCACCACGTAGAGGCGAAACCCCCCACGGACGCGGGCGACTTTTGCCTCTTTTATCCGTCAGAGCTCGTGCCAGTCGCCAGCAGCCACGTAGGCGCTCACGTAAGTCTCAACTAACCCCGAGGAGGCGTGGCCAGAGGGGACATGGGATATCAGCGCAAAGGTGTCCAGATCACGACGCCGCGGCTGCGTCCAGCTTCTGAACAGCTGGGCTTCTATAGTACAGCCTATTCATCCTACGAGGGTATTCAACGTCGAGAGCGTCGACGCTCAGTCGACTCTACCAACGCCTTCCGCGGACGTGCATCACGTCTTAGAGGCCTATCCCGTCTCGCTGGTCGCCCATCACGGGCTCCAATCCCGACCGGAGACAGTCAGTCAGCCAGGCGCCATCAGGCCGCGACGCACCTCGTGTCCTGCCCGACAAGTTCGTTCTTGACCGGCTCAATCCCCAACTCTACTCACACCAGTCAACAGCTTTTGTCGCACGGGGCGCCTCGTGAACGAGGGGAAAATAACGCCATGGACCACTTACTCAACGGGAGCAGCACGACGTCGTTTCCAGACGACTCGCCCGACGACGCCGCACACGTGGGCGCGATCAAACACGAGGCCACGTCGCCCACCGAGACGCTGTTTGTGTCGGTGCCGCCACAGACGCTGCCGCACTTGGCCACGCGGCTCGTCCACGCCGGCGTCAGTCCCAATAGCTCCGCGGCGAGTCTGGGCCTGCACATGCTCTCGAGCTCAGCGGCAGCGCCCTCGTTCTTGACGGCCCACCGGGTATCGTCGCCACCTTTGGCTTCGACTGCACGAACGGCCCCGTCGCGACCTCGACTGCCTCCTATTAGTCTCTTGACGGCAGCGGCTGCGACGTTGCAGCAGCCGCCACTGCATTGCTACGCGGTGGACCCTCTGGCCTCAACTGCAGGGTCTGTTGAGCCACCGTATCCGTTACGTCCCTTCATGACGCCACCGTCGTACGCGACACCGGCTCCCTCGTCGTCGCCTTCGGGCGTGGCTGCTGTCCCACAGTCCAGTGACGGGCGGCCGCAAGCGGACGACATGCTGTGTCGCTACCGCAATAAAAAGTGCGGCTACCCTCGCGCGATCAAGCGCAATGGCGAGCGCCACAACCTGTGCGAACACCACCGCGCGAAAGCGAATCAGAACCAGCGGAAGCTCGAGAGCAAGCGACGCGTGAAGAAGCGGATGGTGGCCGACCGCGTGGGCAAGGAAAAAAAGGGCCTGGTCGTGTCGCCCGAGTTTAAGCTTACGCTGTATGGCGACGCGTTTGCATGAAGACGCAGAGCGGCCGCGTGATCAGCTGACGAGCGGAGAGACCCACTGCGTCGAAGGTTCGAACGAAGAATCGTCGATGTCGAGCACGTGCACGTACGTACACACAGGCGCGACAACAAGGTGGTGGTGTATCGTGGTGAATGTTGGCGGAGCAACGCCACGTACATAAGTTATGAATGCAAGAGGACGGTTGGTGCCTGAGCAAAGGTGTGTGTGTTTAGTAGCGTGTTTTGTTGCCACGTGGGTCGGAATGGTGATGGAACCGATGTGAGTATGTGGACTGAGTCCTTGACGTGCTACGGATGAGGGGATAGAGCATGACGTTGACAAAGGGTGTGATCAGGACTCGCGCGTCAACAGGTCTGCTGGAGCATCATCTCTTCTGTCGATGGCTTTCTTCGTTTATGCGAAAAGCGTTGCAGCAGTTGTAGCCACCACATCGACCATGTCAAAACGATTGCAAAGAGTGACCGAAAAAATGCGCATGACTCGTGTGTAAATGAGAATGTCTTCTACTGCAAGAAGTAACACGTAGCAGTGATGTGTCGCGTTTCGTGCTAGACACGAACGAGCAATTCGTTCACAACTTGAGCTTGTACATTCCTTGTGTGTTTATTCGGCTTGTGTCGAAATCAGTGATCTGCCGTGCGAATTAATATTTTTTTGCAACGGAGGATGTGGACCAAACGCACCAGATACTCGCGACATAAATATACACCGAAATTTACGAAATCAAAACGATGCACCAAAGCACCGTTATGATTTCGTAATGTTCGGTGTATTTCAGCGAATAAATTAGTGCACCAAATCGTGAAGAATTAAATTAGCGCAACAAATCGTCAGAAGAAAAGATGCACCTAACATGGAGAATATAAAATCCACCCTTGATGTATACTGAACGAGCAAATATACACATGCCTGCGCTCACACACTTCCACGTATATCTAATTGACTCCCTCTCTTCGTTATGTAACTAGTCAATCGTTGCATTGCACAAAGAAAACGTGCGCCGACGCTTTAAGCCTTAGCTCAATCAATTGTTTATTGTTCAATGATAAAATCACATTACCCCTTTCGCTTTTTCAGCCAGCATTTGTGTTTCGACGTTGTCGAAAGTGTAGCTGTCATCTGGGATGAATCGTCTGGATCGGATCCGACACAACGGCAGTATTGCGTTCATATTGGCGCCTACACAATGCTCTGTAAGAAGTTTGAGGTACGACCCGAGGCAACCTGAGACGACGAATTCGCAACCGATATCAAAAAGATACGTGATAGTTGCTCCCTGACGGAATCATGTCGGTACTTTCGTGCTGTTGCAGATGGTCTCGTGGATGATCGCGGAAGCATGAGGTGGATTGCACGCTTGCAAAACGTGCAATGCTAAAGGAATGATATGGCCGCCACACACAAAGAGGCTGCTGATGGTGGTATAGATGACGGTGGCGATCTAGATTTTACTCTTATAACTGCAGTTAGAAGGTGCGCGATATTCGTATCTGCTGTGAGGACATAACGCACATGACGTAGTAGCTCGGTCCTCTTCGTCCACTTCGACGATTAGATACAAAATACTGACAAATGATCATGCTGCACGTTCTAGACAAAGTCGCTCACCTGCGAGGACATTGTAGCAAGATGCTCGCATCCCATTCTACAGGTATGCTGTGGGAAAGTTACTGGCGTGTCAACCACTTTTATTGTGTTAGCATCTGTGATCAATGTAGACAGAAGAAGGAACCGGCGCCTTTAAATTGCCGGATACGTTCTTTTCTATACATTTCCAGCAATTTTACACATGTCGCCAGGAACGTCGGGTAAATATGCATGTGACCTCCAGCATTTGTACGTGCGATTGTTTGGTATAACATCAGTGGTGCATGCATGATGTCAAATGTCTTGTGGTGCATTTTTCTATTTACTTGGTAAATCTTTTGATTTGAAGACCATTTGCTACGATTTTATTGACTGAGTACTGCACAATATTCATCATTACTAAATTATTCTCGTTATCGTATGTCGGTTTTTCATTCGTTTGTAATGTCTGTTGCTTTGCTTTGAACGCAGAAAGCTGGTACTTACGATACCTGGTCATTGGTCCTTATTTGTAAGGACGTCATGGTGCTTGGTGTCGTGCCAAGAATGGAAGGAGGAGAGCCACCTTGCCTCATGCCGAGATGGCTGGTCATCAAGCACATCACGAAATAGTATGGACAACTAGACAAATTGACCATATCGAGAGTATTTCATCAGTGCAGCAATGATTATGACTCGCCTATATGCCGCCCTCCTACTCGACAAGAAGTTTAGTCTACCTACGATACTAGGCCAAAACGCTGTGGGAAATGGGAAGACCGATTGCTGCATAGATTGCGCCACAGATGAAGGTGAATAGCAGGCAACGAGTAGTGTTTCTTTCAGGTAGCAGATTCATCGTGTGTGATCGATGTAAGCGCTTTCTGATAGTTGTTGAAGTAAAAACAAAGGATTCTCTCTCTGACCATGGAATGATATCTATGGAAAGCGCATGTGTCTACAAGTAGATGGTAAAGGGCAGTACCGAGCAACTTTTTTCGACTTTATGATCCAAGGGAGCAACGCGAAACGCAGCGATAAATTTGTCAGTCGATCGCGCCAACGTCGAAGTTCACGACATCCTGTGCGTCAACAATGCGGCAGGACCGCATTCGATTGAATAACACAAGTATCACATCGTAGATATTGCGTTGCGAACTCGCAAAGCACTTATGACTATCCATGACGTCAGTGCTGTTGTAAGTCCTACAAGAAAGTATGTCCAGAAGCACAGTCGCAATGCTACAGCAACGACCACTTGTGACCTCTTTCTCACACACTTGACCTCCAGCTTTGCCAGCGAAGGCGGGGTCACCGTAGAGGATTATCTTGACATGGTCAAAAGGAATTGCCTGGCCTGACTAGCTTCAGTATGGGCATCTTGGTGAAGTGACCCCATGGCATAATGTACAGGGTGCCAAGCGGTAGCCAATGTACTCGTAGACTACCAATGACCAATTGCGTGTCCGATCGTCGACGTGGTCCATGTTGTTGCTTCATTATGTGCATCCCCGTGGCGCTCCTCCGAGTTGATCGATCCAGCGCCACATTTGAGCTTTGTGAATCGTAGACAACCACGTTGCAACTGAAGTTCTGATTTGATGCTGTTGCAGGGTGACACAATGAGTTGGGTTGGTATCGATGAAGCGTGCTATTGCTTGTTGATGCATAGCAATTGACCACACGGGTGACATGGAATGGGTGGTATATCACAGTCAGTGCTATGGGCTTGGAACTGAGCATGAAGGGGAGCAAGAAAACGAGAATTTGTAGTGCTTTGGAGCCCAGCGGTGCATAATAAACGTCAAATCTTGACATGGGTGATCTATGTCTCATCGCAACAAATATCTTCCGCTTTGGTCGATCTCGCAAAGCGCGATGGCTGTCTTGTCAGCCTGGAATTTCCATGGCCCCAACATTTTCTCGCTTGCATCATTCACGATGACCGAGGTTGTGCAACGTCGATCAGATCACTTCTCGCATCTGCTTCGGACAATCTGTTCCGACACTTCATAGGTGTCGGTACGACCTTCTGACCCCCGTTTGGCGAAGTTGCCATTCTTGCGTGAGACAGTAGATGATCGACAACGCTTAAAGCTTGAGCGGACCACGTCAGGCTTATCCTTGTATATTTGAAGGTCAGTGGCAAGCAACCTTAGTATCTATACTGTGAGTGCGAGCGTGATGTAAATTCAGTTACGCTAGAGACTGACCTTTGTATCGTAATTGTAATGTGGGCTTCAGATGTTCCATCATCAAAACCTGCTAGCGCTTTTCATTTTCATACTCAAGTCCAATTCGCGGTTTCGTAAGTGTTGCTTACGAGATCAAGACGTCCCTAAACAGCCGCACAAGCGCCGAATGCCGTCCAGCGCAACTCATCAAATGGAGTTGCCTTTCGCTTCTTTCGCGCCAGCTTGCTTTGCATGGCAAGAGTACCATAACATCTAGACCGTTGTATGACATCGATCGTAGCGATCGAGTCATTGACAGGTGAGTCTGGTACATCTGGCTTTCGTGATACTTGCTTTTCCATGGCGTCAGTTACTCACGTCGAATAGACCAGTCTTGTCGAAAAAAGTGATGTCAGTTGGGAGATCAGCCGCATCGCGCCCACCGAAACATGCGCTCAGTGCTGATGTGGACCAAAGGCACTAGCTATGTATGTCCTTGATCACCCGTGCCTGAAATGATTCTCTGCGAAGAGTACACGCAGCACGCCATCACAAAGTCATCGTTTTTGCATGAACATTGAGCGATGACTTGGCGACATGTGAGCCTTACTCACAGAGGTAAAGCCTTTTCGTGTCTGTTGCATTTCGCTTTCCAACCTAAACTTGCTTCGCCCATTGCGTTCATCTACAGTCGCTGGTAGGGCCATTTGGTCGGCAACGATGGATCTTATGCACACAATCTTCCGTTGTGGCAGCATGACATTCTTGCTCGTGCTCAAGCAAGCGTCCTACGAATTTCCACTGCTTTCGTTACTATTTGCAAGAGTGTTCACTACTTTCATGAGTGATGGCCAAGTAGACATTCGGATCTCGACTTGGCCGAGATCGAGTTGGTGGGTGTAGTCACGCGTGAATAGCTACTTTCGCTTGGCATGTCTTGCACAATGATGTCCGCACGATTCAACATATATGTCGCGCACCAAGTCCATAAAACTGCCCGGGTATCATCCAGTTTGTGCCAGGCTTCTTACCGACATTCAACCTGGTGGTGTCAATGTTGTGAACTGCAAGAGCGTGCACGATTGCATCGTGTTTGGAGCACTGGGTTATGTTCAAGCCATGTAGATCGTGCACAAATGTATTCATAGTGGCATAAGTAGCTGCTTTAGCTTTTGCTTGCTATGTTTGTGCTTTGGTCTTCAAGATTTCAAGTTTTGTCTTCACTACAAATGGCCAATGTTTGATGACTATGGTCAGATTAAGCAAGATTAAGCAAGGAAGTTGCCATATTCGGTCTTCCGGGCCACACAGCTATCTCAGAATGAACTAATCAATAGTATCCTTGCCCATATTAATAATGGCTGCTTGTTCTTTCTTTCCCATTGCCTAGTATGAAGTAAACAGGAATGAAAGCAGTTTTATGACACGACCACAATATCGCATTGGGAGGGGTGACAGAGGTGTGAAAGAAAGAAGCACCCGTTGCTGTAGTGGACAACTCTCGATATTCCCTCCACCTCGAACGATACTGATCCTATGCGTGATGCCGAGATGCCATGTGAAGCTTTAGGCCGGGTCACAGCTCTTGATGAGTGGTACACTTTCGCCGCAACTTCATCTTTTCCTCCCATTGTCGCGCCACTGACAGTATTGATGGACCCTACGTAACCCCGTCGATGCTTTCGATAAAGAGGAGGATAGAGAGACCGGCGGTTCCGCTCATCGCATCGTTGCTGTTACGGTCAACATCATTTTGATCGAAATACGAAACCCGTATTTGCCAACGTAGGTGTCCCTCCACTCGTACCTGCGTTGTTGCTGCTGTCTACCATTACGACCCGGAGCTATGGCGGTTGTCGCTACGAGCGAGTCAATGAGTGTGAACAGTTGCATCTGCAGTAGTAGTAAGTAGACGCGTGATATGACAGAAGTGACTGATTGAGCTGCTCGCGATGAGTGATGCGCAACAAGACAAAACGAGACATTGTCGCTGAGTTTGGAGCCTCCAGCCAAACACGGTCACTAAGGTTCAAAACCTGATGGACAATTTTTAGGCTCAAACCTACTCGACAATTTCTTCGAAAATAATGATGATTGCGAGAATAGGCGGTTCGTGAAGTCCTTAAATATGTGTAAAGCACGATTCGAAGGAGATGTGCTCGACTCTCATCATGCATGCAAGCCGGTCTTCGCGACTTCTTTTGGCTGCGCGCTATCTTACTTTCCATTTTCTCGATAGGCATAGGCTGCAGTCGATTCTGTCCAGCTCAAGGTCGGATCAATGGATCGACTGCAGCATGCTCTTCAAACAAACAGCCAAGTAGGCGTCGAATTACAAAGCTTGTCGTAATCACCTCAGTTTCTGTCCTTCAACTTTTGTCCGTGTTCAAAGAACTCAGCACTGTCGGTGAATTGTGCATGCAGATGCCTTCGTCGCTGCTCGTTTGATTTCATCGACAACAACTGAGCGAGATACTGCATTGAACTAAGCAGTCTTTGCTCTATCGCTCGTACTGGTAATATCTCGATTTGCCCCATGTGGCAGCAGCCCATCGTGACGTGCGCACCGCACGACTGCCGTGGCGTATAAATGGACCATACGTCTAGGGGGGGGAGCTTGATGTTCTTACGCAGAAATGGCATATTGCAGGTCATCTCGTGGCGTACAGCGAGCGATGTGAGGCTACTACGCTCTGACGACAAATGTCATCTGACAGCCGTGTGTTGCTCAGTGGAAACGCCTGCATGGATATCCTGGACCGCACTTCCTCGTTGTCGTGTCTTAGCGTTGCTTACTTGTACAGCGAGGAAGTGTCGACACGGCTTCTCGCATGGCTACATACTCGCCGACAGGTTCGTACATTGAGCACACACTTCTCCTGGCGCGCATGTGTCAGTTGTTCGCCTGGTGAAGATGAGCGAATCGTGATTCTCTCGCCGGTAGTCGAATGACCTCACATGTTACTTCGCCTCTTGTGCATCGCACGAGGGCAGTTGCAGTCGTAAATGATAGATGCCACGAGGCAGGTAGCTCGGTGTGTTAGCTCAACTGCCGCAGATGGTCAATACCGAAGAGCCAGCTCCGTCCAAGGCACCATTTGTTACGTACGAGGGTCTAGCAAAGGGGCTGTTGCTTACGTCGGCAGCCAACTTGACGATGTAACATTCACGTCTCTGTCTGCTGCAATTGCGAAGCGACAGCGTACCCCGTGAGACTAACGAAGAAGTCGAGTCTACTGTATCAACTCGAGACTGGACACGGGCTCGTCGATCGACTCGACTTTTGTTCGAAAAAGTAGAGCGCTTTGTCCTCATCTCGCTGTCAACCGAAGCTTCGGTTCCCTCATCGAGCCCTTTTCCAAGAACAAATCGGACAGAGATCAGTCGTCACCGACACTGCTGCCGACTTTACAACACGCAGCGCTATGTATGTGCGCCATGAACTCGACGAACGCGGCCCAGTTGTTCACACACTCTTTGCTTTGCGCCAAAGGTCGTGCACACGGTATGGTCGATAAGCTCTGCAACTCCCTTTGACGCGTAATATGCGTCAGGTCGTCAAGATAGAGGGACGGGTGGTCAGCTGTCGCGACTCTTGTATCATGCTTCACTTTGCATGGCTCTGGCATTATTGTCGGTGTTTGTTGAGACCGTTCTCTCCTCCATCGGCTGGCAATCTCTCGGCACTCGACTACTGGCAACACGAAGCTGTCCCATCTCCTTTGTTCGCGAGACTATCCACGACCATTGACACCGTGTGTCAGCTCTCGAGTCTAACGTATCTCGATGGCCACTCCTCTGCCCATGTTTGCTCACTAATTAATCGACACCACGTCACACGTACTCGAGTCGATATGACTCTGGTCGAGGAAAATCGCTATGACCTCTTGCCGACGTTTGGTCTCAATGCACTCGCTGCAGTCGCCACTGTCCTCGGTGGCTGTGTGATCTTCAGCAACAAACTCTTGCAGCTAGCGAGCCCAATGTCGATGGCTCTCTTACTCAGTGTCTCTGGTGGCATCACGCTCTTCCAGGCACTCGTTGTGCTGTTTGCAAAGGCACTCAAGGAATTCGACATCGCCTTCGATTCTGACAGCAGTGCAAGCAACGAGAGCGATGCGGATCAGGGCACCACGTGGCTCGTCACTACGGCGTGCTTTGGAGGCGGTATCGGCATTAGCTACGTCGTTGATCTGGTCGTGCAGAAGCTCACGCCAGGTCAAAACATGAATGGCACAGCGCGATTGCAGCCGGACCGCCTATCGTTCGAAGAAGGTCGCATTGACGTGAAACCGCCAGTCGAGTTCACGCAGAGCCAAGGCAGCGACGTGTTTGTGAAAATGGACGAAGCCGCCAAGGAAAAGCTGCAGCGTATGGGCGTGCTCAGTGCCCTTGCGGTGGGGATCCACAATATCCCCGAAGGAATGGCAACGTTCGTGGCATCGACAGCGCACCCGTGGGTCGGCTTGTCGCTAGCCATTGGCGTTGCACTGCACAACATTGCCGAGGGAGTCGCTGTTGCGACTCCAATCTACTTTGCAACGAGCAGTCCGTGCCGTGCTTTACTATGGTGCTTCGTATCTGCGCTCGCGCAACATCTTGGCGGTCTCATTGCGTTCGTCTCCATGGGTCAACATGCGGACAATGGGACTCGAGGCATTTTGTATGGCTTGTGTGCTGGCATGCTCGCCGGCATTAGCTTGAAAGAGATCGTGCCAACTGCGTACATGTACGCCAACGGCCGACCTCATTTGGTGTCGGCCGGAAGTCTCGCTGGCATGTTCCTCATGTCAGCTGGTCTCATTGTCTTCAAGTATCTCGGCGTGTGAGAGCCGAAGCGCGGACGACTGCGTTGCGGTGATAGTTGTACATGTCAACGAGATGAGTTTGAACATGAACCGTCGTGCGTATGCGTGTGGGTGTATGTCGACGCTTCCTCCTGAACACAGGCTTTCCGTTACTGACGACCTGCGATAGACCGGTGCCTCCTTTGCGAGTATAACTCGCATGTGGGCGTAGCGCTACTACTCTCGTTTTGAACGTGGCACGAAGCAAGCGGTGCGTGGTAGAGCACGCCTGTTGCAGCCCAAAAGGGTGCGGGGAACTTTGCGCTTGGACGATACCAGTGTGTTCAGCTGAGCGGGTGGGACCGATGGCTTCCCGTTCGTTTGCCTAAAGTCTAAGAACGTCCGTTGCCTGCACTCATGGCGAACTATAGTGAACGAGATATGTGATGACCTTTTCCTATCCTCACCCTTACGCAACACGCAGGACGCTTCACAACGACGCTCGAAAGACGTTAGGCTGTGTTCTTAGCAGAGGAGTAGGCACGGCCTGACTCCGCAACGAAGTCTGTCGTCAGTAGAACGACCACGCAAGTGAACTGAGGGTTCATTGACCATGTCACCAACGTTTTGTATCTTATTTGTGGTACCTGTCATGGAAGTCGATACTTGTTGTGGGCTGCTTTCGAATAGCTTACCACAGACCAAACGCGTACTGTGCCATGATACGAGTCAGCGGATGTCACAAGGACGTACCTCATATCGAGTTGACATTCTACAAGCTGGTCTTGAGCGACGGCGGCTTCGTCACGAAAAAGGAATGCGTCGGTCTATCGTGCAGTGATGGTCTTCGTGTGGTGGCGGGATACAGCATGCCGCTTCAGGTGTCAGTCTTCGTCGCACATGCCCACCTTTTCGGCGCAAAGGCTCGTGCGAAGACACGCGACGCTATGTGTAAAGAGTGCATCGAATGTATGACTCATGCTTCCGTTCACGCATTCTTCTGCACGCAGCGAGCAAGCACGTAGCACCACATCTACCGTTCTTTCGGAGACTGACTGAGAAAGCGAAAGAAGAGCTCGACGTGCTTGTTGCAGGTGGATCCTTTCAGCGACACGGCAGGGATGCACGGAAGGAAATGACGGCTGCTGTGGACAAATTCCCTCTCCATGGACCTGTGCTGTGCCAGCAACACAGTCATACACAGCTCAAAGGCCAGTCCGGCAAGGTGTGCTGCAGCCGCATCTATCCTTGCAACAGATGTCCGTGACCACTCAGTGGTAAATCTAAGTTCGATCACCTGCGTATGGACAACTGCTTGCTGCTTCGGTTTACAAGTCCATGCAAACGCTATACCCCTTGGAATGGAAATGGGTCCTTGCGACTGCTCACTCCTAACCTGCGCGATCATGTCAGTGTTATCTTGCCAACTAGAGCGCCTGCGACTGTGATGTAAAGGATCAAACAAAGATGCCCACATACTCAATCAATCGACTCTTCCATTCATCAATCGTTTCGTAGGTTCACACACGTATCAGTGGCTCAGGCACTCTCGAAAGCACGTTCTGCGGACGCGTGTTTACTCGATGCGATTCGCTCAAGTGTGTTGACGTGCTCGCCCAAAAGATCCTTACACTCGCATACTTCTTCACTCGAGTCGACAAGCGGCTGCGTAGGCAAATCAGCATACAACAGAAGCAGTCGATGATCCATCGTGCGTCGTCCAGGCAGATCAGAACATAGTTGACTCATCAGTCTATACTTTGACCTGTTTATTGGCAAAGCACGGCGTCACCGGTCACAACTCGACTGCGTCTCCTTGTCATGTTGCACGACCTTTGATCAAGATGCAAATCAAGTTCGGTCCACTCTTCTCGTAGAAGACCGTAACGCATCAATGCTGACGCAACGGAACTAGTTCGATACCGTTGGCTCTCCGCGGTTCGAGGCAGAAGGTCCCGCATCTGGCACTGTGGCGATCTGGCGTTGACGGCTAACGCCCCCTAAGAGAGCACGCTCACCGCAATACGGTCGATCGAAGCATACAATGCTGCTCAGCATCGCATTGACTTGATCGCCGAATGCGCGGCGGAGTAAATATCTGAGGCCGCTCTTTTTCGGTGCGCCAGTTCACACTTACAAGTGCAACGGCAATGGCACATAACTTGCTCGACAAGTCGGGAAAATGGCTCGCACTCGCTGCGCGTAGCGAGCGCGTTCTGTATCCGTGCACCCTCATAGCGTCATACTTGTACTAACGACGCAGACTTATCGACCGGGTCGCATGGAATTTGCTGGTATTCTACGAGATGGTGCAGATGTTGAGGTTGTGAGAGCCCGTGTTCACAAAATGTGAGACAGATAGCAGAATGGCTTCTTGCAAGGACCATGGTGGACAGAGAGGACACTGAAGTTGGACAGAGTGCGATGCAGTTGGCATCAAAACGATATGGCACTCATTCGCCTGCTAGAAAAAGAGGCAATTGGCGTCATGTCCTGCTGATACGAGAAAGGAGCAGCGATCGATACGGAACCGAGCATGAATGGCAGATTTAGGTACAGACATATACAGGAACATAGCCCTTCTGCGATGCCTTCAGGTCAACGCCTATGAAGCTACTTTATCGAGACTCGATGGCACAAGACACACACTCGAACGTGAGATGGATTAGTTACAATGGCAGCGAAGCTTCACTGCTATGGATCACGTCGTTCATGGCCGGTGTGTTCATTCTGTAAGCGTCTTTCGCCTGCGTCGTCCAAGTTTTGTCAATCTGAAGAAGAGTCGAACGACCACATTGCTTTGGACCAAGCGATGGATGTCCAGTAGAAAAGACCATCGGATCAAAGGATCTCGTGCATCACTTCTTTCTCCATCCTCGTCCCACATCCGCGACTTTGTCTCTCGAGGAGCTGTTCTAGTTGAACTTGCCTCGCCCTTGTCTGCTTCTTCTACTCGAGTCTGCTCGTCTCCTTTGTATCTAGAAGCCCCTGTGTCACAGCTGTGGCTTCCATGGCTTTGCACAAGAGACCGCCTCATTCCTACTGTCCGAATGCTTGAATGCCACTCTACCCTCGTTTCTATACGCGATGACGCGTCGAACATGGCTCCAGTATTGGGTCCTGCGCGTCCATGTGGCATGACCGCCTAAAAACGCTCTTTCATCCCCTTTTTTTGTGCGCCGTCTCGAAAAGGGCTCATTTTGTGACACGAGTTAGCGTGGCGCACATTATATTCCGCTGCCGGTCTAATCAGATGTATCGATTGAGGCGGGGCCCTGGCGGCTTGTGTGTCGGTGTCACGGATTGACAAATCGACTACCGTCACGCTGAACGCGACTTGAGATCTCATGCTGTGGTCCGGTGCCCGACCATCCGCAACAATTACTATCATCAAGCAATTTAACTACATGCAGGTTACAACAACTCACACACACTGAGGTGACAACGGCTGCTTACTCTCGGTCGCGATCAGGAATACTCAGTAGCATCGCCGCTTCCTTTAGTTCGTCATACGTTGGTTCCAAATGCGAGCTGTCCTCACCTTGGAGCGGCTCGAGGAGATGTAGATGACGAGGATAGTCCTCCTGATCTCAATTGCTTGCCATCGGTGCAGCCATCAGCTCTTGAACTCCAGTGGCTCTTGCCACTCTCCTGCTGCTCCTGCTGCCGTTGTTGTGGCCATTGCAAAGTCACGGGGTCGCGCTCGTTTCGCCGCGCCCCTTGCTTTGGATACCGTTTCCGCTGCTCCGAGTTGCGTTGGTTCTGGTTTGCACGCTCGCGGTGGATCTGGCAGAAGTTGTGCAGCTCGCCGTTCCGCTTCTTGGCCCGCAAGTTTAGGCAGCGAGTGCTTTTGTACTTGCACCGGAGTTCATCGGGTGGATCAATGGCTCGAGCAGCTTCAGCAGCAGCGCGTTCGGCTGCGTACAGCGGATCGAATGGGACAGCAACGCATCCGCCTGTAGGCAAGTGGACGAGTTTGTGTCCGTCATCGCCTCGCGTCATTTGGAGCTGATACGGTTCCATGGGTAGTGGTGGTCCTTCACAAGCGAAAAAGTGATGCGATGTGATGCGGTCTGGGCTGGAAAAGCGCGAGTGCTGGTCGCCGTTTATGGCCTTGTACTGATTACAACAACAGTGACGGACGTAGTGGGATCTGACGGAAGCAAACGTGACCGAAACCGCAGACGGGCGAGCAAACAAAGCCGTCGCTTCGACTTCGAAATACCGCCAGAGACTGCTTTGTCGAAGAGGTAGCAGACATCCTCTGCAAATCGCGACAAGGACAGCAGCGGCGTACGTGGTATCACACACACTCGGGTGTAGGTTTTTGTTTCGGTGAGCAACGATCGCGATGCAGTGTCAAGTTGTGCAGGCAATGGAGCTCGGTGCATCGGTGCATGTCTTTCATCTTCACATTAGACATTGACTTCTGAGTTTTATTTCTCCCATCGTATCCCGATCTTTTGCACGGAAAGAAAGAAAAAAAGTCGGTAGCTCGCCCGATACGTCGTCTTGTACCACTTCTCGTGCACGAGGTCAGCGGTCTGGAAGAAAAAACGGATGTTGTCGACAGCGCTTTCCGTGTATACGAAAGCGTTGGACTGATGGACACGGCTTCTGCTCGTGTCGCGAGACCATAGACAATGCAGCTACGGCAAGTGTCGCCATAGTGGATCGATCGCCTTCGAGTGAAGTCGAGATCGAAGAGCTCACTCGGTACATTCATTGCCAAGCCGTGGACTACCGGATGGTGGGAACCAGATGTGTTGTCTTCATGGCATCATATCTTTGTTGTCCCCACTTGATCTTACATGAGGGTGGGTCCAACGGCATTGAGGTAGATGGGAAGGTGTGAACTGCCTCATCATAGCAATCAAACGAGACACTTTAATTTGTGCAAGCGTAAGGGTCCTAACAGCGATGCAGTTGCTCAGACTTTTCGTATGTATATGCTAGATCTGATGAAGATGGCAGTTCTCACGTGCTTACTCTTCCGAAGATCTGCTCGAACGGTACGGCCAGGTACGTTAAACATAGAACGTGCAATGAGCATCGCGTAAGAAGAACGCTGGCTGATCTCGCTCGTGCGCTTGAGCATTTGACGTTCTAATGTGACGAAAACGTCATGCGAAAACACATCGAGCGAAACACAACACCGATACTGAACGATACTCATGCGGCATACGTGCGACTGGTCTACCTGACATCGTGTTCCCGCATCTCTATATTCTCGATATATCCTGCATGGCTCAGCACGATATGTTGTACATGCGGTTGCTCGTGAATTATATTGGATCGCATGAGCATAGACGCTAGACTGTCATGGCTGCCACAGTCGATTGGGCTGCTACCCACGTAGCCGCTATCTACATTCTCGATGCCGATTGTGTCAACCGATCTCTTTGTGCTCTTCAGTTTGCGGACCAAGAGCGTATCTTTACGTACGCAAGTGCGTGTCGGTGACCAGTAAAATCTCAAGCAGGCTCCGCGTCGATAACAGAATTGCCCCCGCTCAGACCGTGACAGATACAAAAGACACCGCAGACACTTTTATGGCTATGGCGACCTCAGCACCCTCTTGGTGATAAACTGCATCTTTCCTACCTTCTTAGCCACTTTGTGCACTTTATTTCGACGGTCATGTATCCATGTGGTCTCGGCTGCCTCAGCAACGAGACACTAACGTCACCATTCGATTCGTCTTTACAAACTAACCAGGTGGCTGTGGTATGGTCTCAACACTTTGTCAATAGTGCATTGCAAGCGTGGCAATCGGCTACTGTGGGGTACACTGTCGTCAGCAACGACAGCAAAGGATTAACAGGCGAGAGACAGCAGTGGTGTGTCTTGAGGAGCTGAGTGGAAAAAGACAAACCAGTCCGATTTGCTTGCGACAGAGGTTTGACTTTTGCGCATGTGCGCCAGCGGTAGAAGGATACAGCTACATACTTCTATCGAACAATCAGTTGCTGACTGGGTGCGTCTCATTTGCTTTCGAGCTTGCTAACGCAGCTTGGAATTTGTAGAAAGGTATATTTTCTACTGCCGAGACTGTGGATATGTTATCGACCATGACACAAGAACGGATGTTCGTCGAATGTAAATCATGGCTGGGCGATATGGGGCAGTTCGCTGCGCGCTCGATTGACAAGAACGATAGTACAGTACTATGACGAACTAGTTACACGAATTTGGCTCATGCGATTTTGCCGTCAATGTCACGTACCACGTGGGGGCATTGATGTTGGATGTAACGGGGTAGCCCGTTACATGAGATTGTCATTGAAACAATCAGACAATAAAGAATATTACGTCGAATATTCGTTTAACAATATCACAAGACATGGTGATATTGTTGGGATGACCGAAGGGTCTACTCATTGGTTGATATCGTGATGACATCAACCCACCAATCGCTGCTAGACGCGCGCGATGGGTGGTGAGTAGATGTCATCATACATATAGTTATATTAGTATAATTAAGTCAGGACAACAGAGATTCAAGGAGTTATAGGACTTAATTATATTAATACAGTTTTACTTTTACCAAGAAACTAGTCTGACTACTTTCCTTCCTCTGTGTTTTCCCTAAAACACCTTGAAGGGCACTGTCGACCACTGTCGTCAGTGGAAGTATACTCCGTACTGGTCAACCAGTACGTAGTCAACAGTGCCCCGTTACACCTGGTAGCACTTTGTAGTCCGTCCAAGGGTCACAACCCCATCGCCCAACATGAACATGTTGGACGATGTAGACGGCGACAGCTTTCACGGAACCCGTGAAAGCTACTCCTATTTGAGTGACATCGAATGGAGTGCGATCGAACGAATTGGTTCGACCGTTGGCAAGGAAGCCATATGGGCCATGCTATCCTCAAGGGATAGGGACCAGCAACATGCCGTCATTAGCAAGTTCTTGCAACGAGAACTTGATGAGTCGCGAGCGCAGGTGACCTTGTTACAACAACAAGATCACCAGCGGACCGAAGCACTGAGACAACAACAGTCTCAGTCCGCAGATCCGACGCGTGAGCGTCGACGGGAGTCTCTAAAACTAGAGGTCTCCAAGTATCGGGGAGTCGAGGAAGAATCCCTGTTGAGGTGGTTCGTCGAGCTGGACGATGCTCGTCGCATCAACGATGAGCGAATGCAAGTCTCATTTTCTCAGTCTAAACTGGCAGGAGAAGCCAGAGCTTGGGCCCTGAACCTCAAGTTGCACGACCCAAATGTGTTTGAGTTGTTAGATGTCTCCAAGACCCTGCTCAGTGAGACAATCGAGCCGCCCAGGGCAGAGTTCAAAACACTATCTGAACTCCTAGGAATCAAACAGGGTAAGCGTAAGGTTCACGCTTACGCTCAGCACGTACGCTACCTTGCAAGCTGCATGGTAGTGAACCCTGTGAGTGAGTTTGTGTTGATCACAATCTTCATTCAAGGGCTTTCAGACGGTCCCGTTAGGGACCACCTGTTCCGCGGAGAGCTAAAGACGCTCTCAGAGGCAATCTTCGCAGCGGAGCAAGAAGATAATAGCGTGAGACAGTCTCACGCTACGTTGACCCCGCATCGTCCACAGAGACGATTAGCAGTCGGAGGTCCAGAACCAATGGACCTCTGTAATGTCGAGGGCCAGGAACCTTGCCCTGCGAATGACAAGCGAATGGTGAGATGCCATCGCTGTCATAAACTAGGACACTATGCATATGAATGCAATATCCCCCGCTCAGGACCTCGCGGTGCTGAGCGCAGTGTTCACCCACCAGCAAGAAGAACTGGAGGGCGAGGGTCCGTTGCTGTTGCGAAGTCGCAACAGCGTGGTGTACCATCAATAAACGGTCGGGATCAGTAGGGGCGGAGCGCCCTACTGATCCAGCAACATCAAGAGAATTTTACAATCTCCTGAAGAAGGTTGCTCCCAACACACAATTTCTGTGTGTCTCTGCACCTGGTGATGAGGTGCCACTCATCACCTCGAAATTGGAAGTGACAAAAGACTTGTGACTTCGCGCCCTAGTTGACTGTGGGGCGTCGAACAATTTTGTTCGTCGCCAGTCGCTAGAGGCAGGAAGTTTTGACTTCGTGGAGCGGGAGATCTCTCCAACGAAGATGAAGGTGCGCCTCACGACAGGCGCATCGATCACTGTGAAGAAACGTGTACTCGGAATCCACTACACGTTAGAATGCGAACGGTACGATGATGATTTCATCGGGCTTGACCTAGATGACAAGTTCGACGTCATCTTAGGGTTGCCTTGGCTCAGGAGATACGAGCCAAGGGTGAGTTGGCAGTATCGATCCGTGAAGGTGCCTGCTACTTGTTCCTCAGATAATCAACTGAAGAATATCTTGGAACGCCCACACTCACGTGGGTGTACTACGAGCGAGTGCGATGGCCTCACTTGTGGTACGGTCGTTAGCACGACTGTACAAGAACACAATGTAGATGATCACTACATTGTGGAGAAAACTTTCCCAGATCCTGTGGAAGTGATTTTCCAAGAGGTAATCGAGACGTTGAACGTCTTGGTTAATGACGGATCAAGCGTAGGCGCTTACACGCTTGATCTGGTTGCGCCTCCGAAGTTAACTTCGGAGATAATTTAACTGCCGACGCTAGAACCGAAACAGTTCTTGCGTGATCGTCGTAGTGGCAAATTCAAGCAGATCTGTGTACTCCTCACAGAGGACGAGTACGTTACCGATATTCGGTCGGCGACAGTATTTGCTGAGAACGAACGGGTTCTCAGCAGTTCATCGATGGACGAAAGTGTCATCGATTAGAAGACTCTGATTGAGCGATACACGTCTCAATCCTGGAAGTCACTTCAGGCAAATCCTTTGTATAAGGATTTGATCGAAGTCAAGGATGTGTTCCCTGAATCCGTGCCTTGCGAGTTGTCTAAGGACAAAGGCACTCGACACGAGATCGAGCCTAAACCGGGCTCGAAGTACTGGTTCTTGAAGCAGTGGCCACTGCCTCGTGAACAAGTACTAGCAATCGACAAGTTCTTTGCCGATCGCTTAGC